GTACAGGACAACGCTCCAACCAACTGAGCCACCTGGCCAGGGCTATAAAAACTAATTTTTATAATTATTTTCTTTTAGCTAAATTCAATAAAAAAGCATTTTTTCCAAAGATCCAATAAATTAAACGCTCAAACCAATATATGTTTGTAGATACTGTCTAAATCATCCCACTTTATATCAAGTTGTTTAAAAGAGGCCCCTCATAAGAATATAAATTTTAAAATCAATTAATAGAGTCAGAGCCTTTGTCTACATCTTCTTATTCTACCACACACATTAATGGAATTCAAGTTATAATAGTAAATGTTATTTTAATAGAAGAGCTGACTTATTAACCACTTCTGTCAAAATACCATATATGGACTCCCATAGCCAGGCCACTGATTTAATACACAAGGTAGAGAGCCAAAAGGCTTGTCTACATGAAAGAAAGGAAAAATATCATTATATCTCTCTTAACACTGAAGACTTGCCCAAGCCACTTCTTTTTTAAAAATCACTTGGTAACAGCTTTATTATCTGAAGATGAAATCAAGGTTTAAAATTCAGTTAAGTGTTCAATCTTGCCCTCCATCAATATTTTATCCTTTTGTGACAAAAGGATAAACTTTGATGACAAATTTTAGAAGCAAAATGCTAACAATGAACCAAAGGACAACTTTCACATATGCTGAAAATATCTGCTTAACTTTATTTAACAAGTTGTTTTTCACAGAACTGTATAGAAATAATTTTGAGAGCTGTGACTATATGTCTAATAAACCACTTTAGATTTATATTTAATTACAAATGTTTCTACAATAGTTTTTAAAAATAAAAATATAGTCAGTTCTCTGTATCTGGGAGTTCTACATCTGCAGATTCAACCAACCATGATTGAAACACTTGGGGGGGGGGGGATGTTACCGTGTTGCTAACATGTACTATGTAGTGAGGCCTAGGACGGTTGCTTTTATACTGAACATGTACAGCATTTCTGCCTTGTCATTATTCCCTAAGCAACACAGTGACAGCTATTTACATAGCATTTACATTGTATTAAGTATTATATGTATTCTAGAGATGATATAAAGTATACAGGAGGATTATATGCATAACCAATGGATACAGACAACAGTGTAGTGAAAGCCTGGGGTGGGGCAGGGGCTGGGAGGACGATAGAGGGGGTTGGGGTAATTGGGTGACTTCTTTAAAACTATCAACAATAAAAATTTAAAAATATATAAAAATAAAGTATATAGGAGGATGTACATAGGTTATATGCAAATACTGTACCATCCTATATAATAAAAGCCTAATATGCAAATCGACTGACCGGTGGAATGACCAGTGGAATGACCGGTCGCTATGACAAGCACTGACCACCAGGGGGCAGACACTCAACACAGGAGCTTCCCCCAGCCCACAGGCCAGCCAAGGTGGGTGCCAGTGGGCCCCCCTCCCCTGATCGCCCCTCAGAGAGGGGCGACCAGTGGTAGCAGTGGGGGGCGGGACTGGCGAGTAGGCAGCACCAGGCTAGCCAAGGTGGGTGTCAGCGGGGGCCCCCCAATCACCCCGCTGGTTGCTCCACAGATCGGCCCTGATTGTTGGCCAGGCCTAGGGACTCTACCCATGCACGAATTTCATGCACGAGGCTTCTATATAAGGGACTTGAGCATCTGTGGATTGGGGGTTGGGGATGACTGTAATTATCAGCAAATTGATAAGGACTTTAAATTTTATTGGACTTTAGCTGGGGATGTCCTCTAAAATGTTAAAATGGTCAAATGTACAATATAGTATGATTTGATTCCTCAATCTAAATAAAAAAATAATTTCCTTCACATATATTTTCTCTTCTGAGAGCAAACGAAAAGAACATTAAACCAAAACATAATGCTAAAATGTAAAGGTTTAAAAAGCATGTACATCTTTATTTGAAAACTTCTCTTAAGTAACATTTTGAACACATGAACATAACCTATTGCTTAAAAGTAACACAATGGAAATATTTTTAGAAAGTATTCTAAATTTTTAGAAAGTATTCTAAATACTTTCTGATTTAGAAAGTATTCTAAAAAGATAATGACATTAAGACTCAAGTTAAATGAGTGTTAAATCTCACTTCTATTTAGAAATAGTCTCTTGTGTAAAAGCAATATATTATAAACATCTTATAAAATGTTCTTAGGTTGTTGGTTTACAATTTGAGAGAGAAAAAAGAAAGTAGAATGAACAGCATAATTAAATTTAACTTTGGTGACAAAAATGTTCTATTTGGCCAAAGCCAGCTGTAGTATCTTGTAGCCATTAAGCAGAGAATATAAACTTAACTTCCATTTTAAGTCTCTCCTCATGTCTAGAAGTTAACATATGCATTCTAGAATAGTAAAGGAAGGGCCTCATCTCTTCGTGGAGATTTTTCAACAAAGGTAACAAAGATCTAGATATAAAGTCACGCTTCAGAACTGAAATGAAGGAAGACATGACAGAGAAAGAGTAATTTTTGGATAAACAGGATAGCCAATAGCTGTTTTCACTCTGAACTAAAAATTTTTATTTGCTACTCAAATCAATAATAAAATTACAGAAAATAGGTTTTTAGAGTGTTTCAAGTAAACAAACCCATAATTTCTAGTAAAAAAGGAAAACCTATTAAAACACTCTAATACACACTACACCCTCGAGTGGGCAAACATCCATGGAAAAATATAAAGGTTTAGTTGGATTTTCCACTCAGTTAAATCAGTCCTATAATTAATAAAATGATGGCTCTAAAACCTCAAATTTCACATTATTTTAATCACTTACTATCTGAGTAGAAGAAGTAAAGATTTTTAAAAATAACAATTTAGATCTTATAGAGAGTAATGTAAGAAATAAAATCACGATCTGCTTATATTCCCTTAAAAACAAAATGCTATGAGATACTTATTTCTTCAACTTATAAAGGGGAAAAGGTAAACAGAATAAATCACATATAAAGATGTATAATTAAAAGATGAAGTACCCTTTATATCATGAACTGCAAAGGCAGCACTAATATTTTAAAGCAAAATATAAGAATTATGGTTCCTTAGTGAGAACTGTGGCAGAAAAGCAGTATGTTCATTAAGTTTTTCAGGAAAACAACTTACATTATCACCTGGTAATATTTAGTATTACTGGTCTCATGGGGCTATGTGGTCACTATACAGAAATATAAACACACTTAGAATAAAATTAAGATACTACCTAAAAGAGCCTTTATTCTATATGGCTAATGTTTTAGGACTTAATTGATATAACAGAAGCAAAAACCAGATTAAAAGTATTCCACAATGGCCCAAATGTCAAAGTTTCTCCAGTTTACAACAAAATACAAAACATATATTTAACACATAAATATAGAAATCATATATGAAGATGTACATTTCCAAAATGTATCAAGGAACTTTTGGTAAATATATATATTCTTTAGGAAAACCTAGTACTTACAACTAAGAACTATTTCAGGCCTTGAACTTATCCTGGATATGAGACTAGTACTTAAAAGACAACAGTGACATCTAGCGAACATTTCAAATATATACCACATATATCGAAGCAAAACTTTACTAGTATTTCCAGTGCTTCACATATTTCAACCTGCCTGAGCAATTATATGACAAATCTTTCGCTTTAAACCAAAACAAAGCAATTCTGATCCCAAACGATTTCTCAATATGATGACCCATTCATGTGATTAATACAAAGTGAGAGACAGGGTCTTAATATAAACAAGTCAAATAAGAGTCTAGGGGCCAACAAGTTAACTGGAAGTCTTTCAAAAATCACAGGTGCTTCCCAGATCCCCCAGAACCAATGAATTTAAAGCTTTTAATGATTATTTGAGTTCAATTATTTTTCTCACAAGAAACAATGCTAAGGTCCAGAACTTCACAAGTATGCAATTCAAAATCATTGAAAATATCTCAAATGTAAATATTTTAAAACTAAAAAAATATCAGGTCACAAAAGCACTGTCCTGATAGCTTCAAAAAGTCATACAGAGGAAAAATAAACTACAATATATTCAAACAATGAACTACAATACAACTCAGGAATAAAAAAGAATGAAGTAATGATACGTGCAACAACATGGATGAATCCTGAAAAACTTAAGGCTGAATGAAACATAAAAGTTACACCCTGTCTGATTCAACTTATATGACATTCTATCTAGAACAGACAAAATGATCTATAGAATGAATGAATGAATGAATATATATAAACATAAACAAAATCAGAACAGTTACTTCTGAGGGTAAAATGGAAATGGAGATTCAGAAAGGACATGAGGGAATTTTCTGGGGTAATGGAATTGTTCTATATCTTAATAGGAGTTAGTATTACACAGATAAATGCATTTGCTAAAACTTACCAAATATTATACTTAAGATTTGAGCAAAATTTATATAAATTTTACCTTAAAAAAATGAACCTAAGCAAATAGTAATAACTCCAGTTATCATATATCATGCTTAAGTATTTGCAATATTTATAGATACCTGAACTTACTTTGACATTTTGATATGTATATAAAAATTAGATGGATTGACAGATTATTATAAAGCAAATATAGCAAAACATTAGCAATTATAGAATCTAGGAGGCGAGCATATTAGAATTCACTGTAAAAGTCTTCCCCTTTTCTTTATGTCTGAAAATTTCCATAATAAAGTATTGAGAAAAAATAAAAGTGACCACTAGAATTCAAAAAAAATTTTTTAATATTATAAAATATGAAAAAAATTCTTAAATAGCAACAATTTTATTTTAAATACAGTAGTAGGCAAAAGTAGGTTTACAATTGTGAATAAGTGAAACACAATATTCTTATGTTATTATTTATTATTGTATTATTTTCCATACAAATGACTGTTTCTCTACTTTTGCCCACCCCTGTATTAACATTTTAATCCCTCTAACTAAATATCAAACATGACTATCCTCTAAAGAGCCTGACTGATACGTACACATTTTAAAATTTGAAAACATACCCGAATTTCTTGAAGGTTATGGAAATTATTTCCTACTCTGACTGAGATCTTGCTTGGAGTATAGCTTTCATCAGATTTGTAATCCGCATAAATACATAATGTCTTCACTGTTGTTTTTCTTCTAAAATCAATAAGATAAAAACATGACCTTTATCATATGGAAAGATTATATCCAAAACATCTTATCTTCTTATTTTAAAAATCATTGTTTGCTAAAACGAGTATCTAAATCAAAAGTTTCGATGTTCTTTACTTTTAACAATTATGAAAATTAAGAACATGTAAAAATTATAGACACACATTTTACTTATATACAGACATTGCTTATCTAGAGCAAAGTCAAGAACAAGATGTGAGCAAAGAAGGAACAGTTAAGCCAAAACAGAATCATACAAAAACGATTTGAAAGTGACTATTTTGGTGGCATGGAACTATGGGAGATATTTATATTCTTCTTTATCTATGTTTTTTTAAATTTTTAACAATTAGCATGTGTTATTTGGGTCCTTAGAAAAAAAATTAGACAATTTTAAACATCAACACATACAAAAAACCACACTAAGAAGTCCATTTAAATGTGCTTTAAAAGTTAAGTTCTGGTATAAACTGGCACTAACTTAACAACAATGAGCTCCTTGAACAGAAGTAGTCTGTGTCAAAAGTCAACCTATAAAAACAGCAGGGGATCTGTAACTCTTAGAGAGGGGACCAAACTTCTGTAGACCAAGCTATTCATCAGAAAGGAATGGGGAAAGTTAAGGACTTTCCCGCAAATAATAAAGACAGATGAAGATGTAAAACGCTAAATACCCAGGAACTGCTGACAGGATAAATACCATTACCAGGTTTTAAAAAGAGGCCAGAGGTATCAAACTGACATCTTTCTGTTTCTGCAGAGCTAGGGAGGAGACATGAGAGGAAGCAAAGGAAGAAGGGGAAATTCTGAAGGGCACACAAAAGACTTTCTCCCTGACGAGCCATAAGCAGGCAGTGAAAGGTCTTTCTTAGAAAGATCAAAATCATGAAGATTATTCTTAAGGACTGCTTTAAAAATAATGAAAATAGATATAAAGGAAGAATAATTTTATCTCCAAGTTATAAAATCCAGGACAACTTAGGCACTGGAACCTATAAGATAATCAGGGTGATGTTAGAAAGGCAAAGAATAACAATAACATTAATCACTGTAAAAACAACAGCAACAGCAGCAAATAGCAAGTGAATACCCTATCCGGCCCAGAAGTAATGGTTTAAGTGTATTAACTTATGTTCTCCTCAACTTTGTGATATGGGAGCTATTATCACCTTCATTTCACTGATTTAAAAAGACACAATAATACTCAGGTTAATAATATGTTAATGTTGAAAAGCTAGTAGGTGAGCATGGTAGAAGTTCAAATGTGTGTCTGCCTCACTTGATCTTAAACTATCACCTTCCTACTCACAAATTGTACTTACCTCATTCAACAGTCATTGATGACAGTTTATAGTAATATGCAGGTATTTACACTTCTTTAAATTTTATCTACACCATAGGATGTTATCCTAAGGCCCACGTATCTCCAGAAATCATATACGTAATTTATGCTATATACATTGATTCATTAACTTTGCAAAGGAAATTGTGACCTCATCAAAAGTTTAAAATTATTTCTCTAAAAGGTACCTGTAAAGCCTTTTTAAATTGTTTATAAACTAGAGGCCCGGTGCACAACATTCATGCACTTGGGAGGGTCCCTCAGCCCAGCCCACGCCCTCTCACAGTCCGGGAAACCTCAGGTGATGTCGGACTGACACACTTAGCACTGCTGCAGAGGCAGGAGAGGCTCCCACCACCGCCTCTGCACTTGCCAGCCATGAGCCCAGCTTCTGGCTGAGCGGCGCTTCCTCTGTGAGAGCACACTGACCACCAGGGGCAGCTCCTGCATTGAGCGTCTGCCCCCTGGTAGTCAGTGCACATCACAGCAACCGGTTGTTCCACCATTCGGTCGATTTGCATATTAGCCTCTTATTATATAGGATAGGATTTATCTCATGGTGAATTTAAAATAGCAGTGCATGTGGGAAGGTTAAATGCATAGGTTCTGAGAAATACTATCAGCTACTCAAACTGCTTAAATCATCACTATAATAATAATCACCATAAACTGAATGCTTTAATTACTCCAGGCACCCTGCTAAACTCTTAGGATAAGGTATTATAGGAAAGGAGAAGGCAGAGGGTAACACTTACTCATTTCTGATGACATAAGTAACACTCACAGCCTCTCTCTATTCCCTCTCTCAATTCTCTTTCTGCTGAGAAAGAGCTGCTGGCAGGAAGCAAACATTTAATAGGGACAGGCTCTACCTGGTCTATTACTTTCTTAACTGGATGGGTAAGTCTGTGTAATTCTAGGGTTCAATATTAGGAAAACACTTGACTGCAGATATAAGCCCCTTTCTAACATCAGCTTTGTCAGTTTTATAAGAATGATGTTTTAGTCTCCACCTGCTATAACTCTTGAATAATTTCTCAATTGATTTGGAACCCATGAAATTTCAACAGAAGAGATTAGTGACAAACACTCCTAGTTTCCAACCTAACGGCCCCTTTACCTTTTTTTCTTCATAACATCCAGCTAAAAGGCTTTATTCCCCAGGTTCCCTTAAAACTAGGTATGACCATGAGACTAAGTTATGACCAGTAAGATTTAAACGGAATGACTGAGTGAAATAAAGAAAGTTTAAGAGGAAGACATACCCCCTTTACCGTTCCCACCTACTCCTTCCTACTGCCTGGGATATAGACATGATGCAACTTGGAGGATAGAATCCATGAGCTAAGAACAGTGGAATGGAAAGAGAAGGAATCTGGGTCTACAAGATACTGTGGGCTGCCATCCCACTCCTGGACTGCCAGGATCCTCTAATATGAAGAGGTAGAAGAAATAAATTTCCACCTTGTTTAAAACACTGTTATTAAAAGCTCTGTATCCCACTTCTAGGAATACATCCCAAGAAACTAGAAACACCAATTAGAAAGGATATATGCACCTCTATGTTCATAGCAGCAAAATTTACCATAGCTAAGATTTGGAAACAGCCTAAGTGCCCATCAACAGATGAGTGGATTAAAAAACTGTGGTATATCTACACAATGGAATACTACACTGCTGTAAAAAAGAAGGAATTCTTACCATTTGCAACAGCATGGATGGAACTGGAGAGTATTTTGCTACGTGAAATAAGCCAGTCAGAGAAAAATAAATATCACATGATCTCACTCATTTGTGGAATATAATGAACAACATAAACTGGTGAACAAAAACAGATCCAGAGACAGAGAAGCATTGACCAAACCATCAAACCTCAGAGGGAAGGTAGGGGAGGGCGGGAGTAAAGGGCAGAGATCAATCAAAGGACTTGTATGCATGCATATAAGCCTAACCAATGGACACAGACACCACAGGGATGAGGGCATGAGTGGGGGCAATGGGGGGATAAGGGCACATCAATAATACCTTAATCAATAAAGAAAAGAAAAAAAAGCTCTGTTACTGCCTGGCTGATGTGGCTCAGTGGTTGAGTGTTGACCTATGAACTGGGAGGTCATGGTTTGATTCTCAATCAGGGCACATGCCTGGGTTGTGGGCTTGATCACCAGTGTAGGGCATGCAGGAGAGAGCCAATCAAGGATTCTTTCTAATCACTGTTTCTATCTCTCTTTCCCTCTCGCTTCCTCTCTAAAATATGCATATTTTAATAATAAATGAATAAAAAATAAAAGCTCTGTTACTAGCCTGGCCAGTGTAGCTCAGCAGGGTGAGCATCATTCCCATGAACCAGGAGGTCACGGTTCAATTCCCAGTCAGGGCACATGTCCAGGTTGCAGGCTCAATCCCCAGTAAGGGGTGTGCAGGAGGCAACTGATTAATGTTTCTATCTCTTTCTCCCTCTCCCCTTTCTCCCTCTCTCTCTGAAATCAATAAAAACATATTAAAGAAGAAAAAATAGCTCTGTTACTAGAAGTTCTCATTCCTGTTATGCCCACATTACAGATAAGGAAACTGAAACTCAGATCAAGTTAAGCTACTAGTCTTCATTTACACATCTAGGAATTTTTCAAAGAGCCAGATTTTGTACTCTATATGACTATACTATATTAAGAGTAACTACAAACTCTTGAGGTTCAAAGTTTAAAACCAAAAACCAAAATAGTTAGAGTGGTGCTAAAACCAAAAATTTGGAGAACTGATGCCCTAGAGTAGGGATCATCAGCAAACTACACACAGGCTAAATGGGGCCTGCCATTTATTTTTATAAATAAACTTATATTGCCCTAACTGGTTTGGCTCAGTGGATAGAGCGTTGGTCTACAGACTGAAGGGTCCCAGGGAAGATTCTGGTCAAGGGCATGAACCTTGGTTGCAGGCACATCCCCAGTAGGGAGTGTGCAGGAGGCAGCTGAGGATGTTTCTCTCATTGATGTTTTGAACTCTCTATCCATCTCCCTTCCTCTCTGTAAAAAATCAATAAAATATATTAAATAAATAAAAAAATAAACTTATATTGAAACAAAGCAATACCTACTCCATTACATACTGTCCACAGCTGCTTTTGCACTACAATGGCCAAGTTGAGCAGCTGGAGGAGCCTAAAATATGGCTTGCAAGGCCTAAAGCACTATTGTTACTGTCATAAGCAGCTAGTTAATACTGATAATGGAAGGAGAGCAAAGGGGAAGCCAGACATTATAAGCATGGTCCTCTGGGCAGCTTCACACTCCCCATGGTCACCAGTCCATTCTCTGCAAATCATGGTGGAAGGGCTCCAACAAAGGGGGAGATGGGCACATGCACTGTGAAGTTGGTGTGACATAGGGAAAGTGCTTGTCTGTCAGTCTAACCTGGGAAAAAGATAGCTGGCTACAGAGGCAGAGCCATTGCAAGCACGTGAAATCCTGAAGAGTTAATTGGATGAGCTCCCAGTTATAATCCCCAGACAAATAAACTTTCTCTCTCTTATGCTCCTGCTCCCTTGCACTCTCTTGCTCCGTGGCCCGCCCCCATCCATGTACTAACCTGCCATGTGGTCTAAGCAGCCTCACAGCCCATGGCCATGGGGATCTCACACACAATG